CCGCGCCTCTCGGGGAGGGGCGCGCGCCCAGGTGAGCCCCCCGCGCAGGTGGGCGGAGGTTCCGGCAGGGCAGGCGGGGGCGATGGTGGCGAGGGGGCTCCGCGCGCCCCGCGTCCTTCCTGCGCCCCCAGTCACCTCGTGGGGCACCGCGTCCCCCTCCCAGAGCCCCGCTGGAAGGGGCCAGGTCTGCGGCACCCCTGTGCAGGCTCGCTGTTGGGGAAGCGCTCCAGCCCCGGGAGGCCCCGGGCAGACCCAGGCGCCCCTACCGGAGGGGATGTCCCGCGGCCGCCCATCCACCCCACGCCCCGCAACGTAAGCCGGGACGCGCCCCCTTGCCCTGCCACTCTCTATCCAGGACGCGACAGCCCCCTTCCCCCGCCCGCAGCTCGGCCAGGAGACCCAGATTCTTTCTGTAACAAGAGGGGTGCTCCGCGCCGCCTTCTGGTCCCCACCCCCCACGGGCCTGTAACGCAGAGCCTCAGGTGCGAGAGGTGCAGGGGATTTGACAGCGGGGCTTCTTCTGGGGTCCCACAGGCTTTGTCATCTACAGGCTTAGACGGTGTAGCCCGTGATTTGAGGGAGTGTATATTAGTCATTCGTTCATTCATCCACCCAGACGTTCATTCACCAGCATCTGCTCTGTGCCAGGCCATGAACTGGGCTCTAGGGTCAGGAGGGGACCAGACACTGTACCTCTTTGCACACCCTGGGCCCCATGGTACGTTGGGAGGCTGGGGTTAGGGAAGTCCTGTGCCCGCAGGGCCGGCCTTACGGTAGCAGCAGCAAGTCTGGAGTCAGCAGTGCTGGCTTGCGAGGCTGGTTATGAGAAGCTACCACGAACCCACACCCAACCTGTGATGTGGGCAAGCACCACGCCATCCCCTGGGACCAGGCATCGGCCTGGTGTGAACCCACTATGATAGTGTGAAGGATCACAGTGATGGAATGAGTGTGAACTCACCTATGCACACTAGATATGAATAACCCTGGGCTGACTGTCAGTTCTCCCAGCCCCTGACATTGTCCCCGACCTGGACCAGGCAACACTGCCCCTGCTCCTGTACCGAGCTTGTGAGTTAGGTCCCTGAGAAGATACTCCCCTCTGTCCCCAGGAATCCTGCCGGGTGGGCTGGTCACGTGAGACACAGACAGTACAGAACACATCCAAACCCCCCGTTTCTCTCTTCCCTCCCCTCCTTCGCTGGGGAAGGCTGGAAAAGGCTCTCTACCTCCCTCTGCCTTCCTCACCGCATTCCACAAAAGGGCACAGGGCAGAGTAGGTGTCCCGTCCACTGTCCCACGCTGGTCGTGCTCATGTGCATGCACTTGCTGGACACCGTGAGCACAGGTCATTTGTTCAGCACCCTCATAAAAAAGCAGTTGGTGGTTGTTGCTTGAACTATGCACCAGCCACTGTGCCGAGCCCTTTACTGCCCGATGAGCCTGTCACTCTCCTGCTGCTTTTAAAACATCTGGAAGCAGGCACCCAGAGAAACAACTCTCTTAGCCCAAAGGGGCTGGGCAAAGCTTGGACTCAAAGCCAAGTGTGCTGAATTCCAAGAGTTTTCTCCATCAGTATCCCGATGGGTCATCGCCCTCACTGAATAGGAGTGCCAGTCGCAGGCCCTCGTCCTTGGCCCCTGAGTCCTTTGCGTGGTCCCTGGCTGGGTCTGTGGGAACTTGTACCAGTGACAGGTGAAGACTGTCCTGCTCTGGGCGCCAGCACCTCCTGCTGTTTTAACTCTGTTTCCTGCTGCCATTTCACACTTGGCCCTTTCCCTGGGCTCTTTCCCTCAGGGCAGCAGCTCTCTGTTCTCTGTGATCAGCTGCCCAGCCCCTCTCTCCTTTACTCAGCTGCTGCCCCAGGGAGACTTTTGCGAGATGATCGAGATGATTGAGATGATCAGCAACATCTGATTATTCTTCCCTTTCTCAGCTCTTCCAGACTGCCTTGCATTTTGTAAATGTTCCTCTGCTTCTCCAGGCTCCTAGACGTAGTGAACTGCACATGCAGTAGTGTGTGGATAGGAATCGCATCTCCCCTGGGACTGCGTCCGAGAGGAACAGATGGATATGCTGTAGAACAGAGGCAGCCATGGAGGTCAGGAGGCCAAGTCCCTGTCTTTATACCTGGGGACACTGAGGCTCGGGGTAGGGATGTACCACAGAGAGGGGTGGCTGTTAGTACCGTCTACTTCTGTGGGCAGCTAGGCAGAATGACCTGGCTTTCACTCTGAGGGATAACACTAGAGTAAAGGGTGGCTGGGAACCTGGGGCTATGGGTGAAGCATCTGCTTCCGTCCCTGTGAGGGGTTTCCTCTAAAAACTGCGCAGTAGATAACCTGCTGGAGGAAGAGAAGGGCGTTTGGGCTGCAGGGCTGCCGTGGTGTCTGACTCCAGGTCATCAGGTTGTGCAGTATATAGCTTGAGCAGCCGGCCATGGCTGTGCCAGCCGTGTCAGGATCAGAAGAGAAACAGTTCAAGGACTTTCACATGGCCAGGAAAATTTAGGTACAAGAAAAAAATGTGATCAGGTCCCAGAAAGAATAGGATGAATCTTTAGAAGGTAGATCCACATGGATTACTACCAGTTCCCAAACTGAGGGGATTTTAGCCACACAGATAAGAATCCTTGTAGTAGCCACGTGTGGTGGTGCCTCCCTTTAATCTCAGGGAGGCTGAGGCAGGAGGCTGAGGCGGGAGGATGCCATGAGTGTGAGGCCAGCTGGACTACATAATGAATTCAAAGCCCACCTGAACTACATAGCAAGACCCCCTCTCAAAAAGCAGAAACAAGCAGCCCCACCCCCACCCCAAGAATCCTATGGTGCCTTTCCCCAGGCCCGTCTAGTTTTGAGGGGAAGGAAGAAGGCCTTTGGTCTTGCCCTGTAGACAAAGGAGGAAGGAAGCCTACTTTAGTGGTAAAGGCCAGCACTAGGGAGGTGGGGGCCAGGGGTAGGGGAAGACTCAGGACTGTATTTGTAAAGGAAATGATAATTCACAGTGCAGAGCTATTTGTAGGGCAGAGGAGGCCAGTGATTATGTCGAGACAGTGAAGGCTGGAGTTTTCTAGGTGAGGGGTCTTTGAAGGCTGGCAGAATTGGCACAGAAAGGTGACAAACAGCAGCTTCCAGGTGGGGGTAGTGGCTTGAATGAGGGCAGGGGGTTTGGAAGGAGTTGTGTAAGTGTGACAGGGCCGTTGGTGGCAGGAAGTGAAGAGCCCTGCCTGATGGGGGGGCAGCTTCTTACAGAGCACACCAGGCAAAATGGAGCTCCCGAGGGCACTGAGGACGGCAGCAACAGGATGAGACTTGGGTGTTTCCACACATCCCTCTGGCTGCTTCGTGAGGCTCCTGGAGGCTGGAGAGGGGCCAGCCTGGCCCAGCTGCCTGTGTTGGGAGGGTTTGTTCTGGTTCCTGCCAGTGCCCCTCCCTTCCCTTCCTCTGTACTGGCCTGGGGCGCTCCCTCTGTGCCCCAGCAGGCTGCAGCCAGGTCTGTGAGCCTGGGACCATGCATGTGGGGGGCTCCCCACATCCCCAGGCTGTGCAGGAACCGAGTGATTGGCCAGAAGGGTCTGGGAATCATTAGGGAGGGGGAAGGAATGTTTGAGCTGAGCCTTCCAGGCTGGAGGAACCAGTTTACTCCTAGGTGCTGGCCTCTGATCCAAGGGGTGGGGCTGTCCCCTGCAGTGCATCAGACCTAGTCATTTGAATCAGTAAATCCTGATCCTCCGGAGTCAGGGTGGGAGGGACGCTCCCTTATGCTTGTGTTCTAAGCCCTTGTTAAGGGGGTGGGCTGGGGGTGGGGGGACATTAAGGCCCGAGGAAGGCTGAGGTTGCCCAAGGTCACAGAAAATGATGGCGGAACCTGAACCTGGAGCCTGGGTTTCCTGCACCATTGTGAGTTTGCTGAGTTGGCTTCCTTTATTGGCCTTCCCGGAAGGAGCATGTGCCTTTATGTCACCTCAAAGTCAGAACTCCTCCAGAGTGACCTGCTCTGCGGCACCCAGGGGCAGGGACCCATGGCTGGATTGCTCACCAGTGGTGGAAACACCTGGAAGCTTGAGAAAGGGAAGAGGGCCGGGGTTCTCTGGACTGGAAATTCCCACTCCTTGGGCACCGGGAGTTTATCTTGGAAACAGCATCACCTTCTACAAGGAGATCGTACTTACCTTCTCAGGTCCCGGGTGGGTAGCCAATGTCCAGACTCCTGGCTTTCCTAAAACTTGACCTCCTGGAAGCCTTTTTAGATATTCTTGCCATTGAGGATGTGCTTGAACTTGGGCAGTTCTCATGTTCTGAAGGACAACCTCTGGTCTCTGTGGAATTACCTGTCACAGTAGCAGAGCCAGCAGGTCCCAGCTTGAGACCTTTTGCAGCCCTTAGTCCTGACTCTGGCATCATCACATGAACAAGGATGTTGCTGCCCGGACAGAAGGCCCACTTCTGCATGTTACCTTGGGCCTGATCTACCTTACCGCCATTCCCCTCCCTGAGACTCGACCTGTGTCTGGGAGCCCAGCAATGGGACACAGAAGGTAAGGATGTGGCTAAGTGCTTCTCTTCTACCCTTCCTGGGGCCGTGTCTCAGTGAGATGGGCCAGAAGGGTGGGATTTCCTCACATACACAGTGGCATACTGTGATGGTTCATAGCTGGAAGTGGCTTGAAGATCTTTCAGTTCCCCTGTCACACGTGCATATTGGGAGCTGAGGTCAGAAAGGCAAGAGGTCCTTCTCCGAGGTCAGGGCAGACAGTGTAGACTCTCAGAGACCAGTGCAGCTTTGGGGATGGGGCTTCTTGGCAGTACCTGGTAGCTTCTCTCTAATTCCAGGCATGGGGGAAGGAGGACAGGGCCAGAAATTGCATATTGGGGACAATCTTGGTGCTGTGTTATTGCAGCCCTCATCATACTTTCCTGTCCAATATCTTGACAGCATCCCTTTGAGGTAGGGTCAGTGTTATTTCCATTTTATGGATGATGAAATTTAGGGGGGTCTGGCTCTATAGTCACACATACAGTTGGAGCAGAGCTGGAGTTAGCACCTAGGTCTCTTCTGCTCTTGCATTTAACATTCCTGGGAGTTAAATTGTCTAACAGAGCAGAGACCTACTTCTGGTCCTAGTTGACCTTGAACTGTCCCCTTCGGGCTTCAGTTTTCTCATCTGTGAAAGGGAAAGAAGAAGAGTTTGGGGGTGAGGATGAACTTAAGTACTTCGCAGCTCCTAACACGCTTTTCTCTCCTGCCTCTCTCTGCTTGCTGCCTTTCCTGTGCTGAGAGGGGCCCTCACCTCACACGGATTCTCCTGGATGGATGGTTGAGTGTAGGGGATAAAGGAGGAGCTGAGGACTTGGATGTGGAGGGCACGTGGCCCTGGGGATCCTCAGCCCCAGCCTATCTCCAGATCTGCAGCTAGGAGCCTTTTGGAAGAGGGTGGGTGGCCAGGGCCCCCAAGGGCAGGGCTGGAGGTGGGAGGGGGAGCAGAGAATGCATAACAAATGAGTTTGGAAATCAAATGAGATCTGAGTTCCCCACCCACTCCCTCAAGTCTCTCTACTCTCTTTCTCTTTAAAAATTCTTGTTTTCTAAAGAGAAAAGAAAATGCTAAGTTGCACCCCCTTTTGCAAAGGATCGGGAGCCTAGTGAGTCACTCCGGAGGTAAATGCCACCTCCAGGGTCCCACGTGTGCCTGCGGAGGCCTGCACAGCTGTGTGGCCAGCAGCCCCCATGGGGTATGTGTGTGGGGAGGGTGGACAGGGCCCCTTGTTCCTCCTGCTTGCCTTGGCTCTGGGTGGGAGCTAGGTCCCAGCGGGCCGACCAGCAGCCAGCCTGCTTCCTCTGGACTCCCCCGGGGCCGCATTCATGAGACTCCAGTGTGCACGGGGCCAGGTTGAGACCTAGATGATAGGCTGTGTGACCAAAGCTCGGTTTGAGGCTGGGGGAGGGTGCGGAATGTGGCCTGACTGGGCTCTGTGGTGGTACCCGGGCAGTGTGGGTGCTTTCAAGGCTCCAGGTGGGTTTGAGAGCTGGGTTTGGGCAGCTGGTGTGAGTCTGCCTGCTTTTGGAAGCCTGGGTGCTGGGTGTCTGGCTGTCTGTGCTAGGTGTGCTGATAAGGCCCTACTGCAGGGCTGGTAACCAAGACCTTGGAGGGGATGGTTTGCCTGGGGAAGGAGCCTGGGTGTAGGGAGCAGCTGATCTCTCTCTGAGAGGGTCGAGCAGATCTTGGGCAGGGGAGGCCAGCAAGGAAGTGTTCCACTTCCCAGATGACCCATTATTCTGGAGGGAGGGGAAGTAGACGTCTGTTAGCCAGGGATGCCAAACAAGGGTTGAAAGCAAAAATAGAAACACGTTGGGCTGTGTCTGGGAGGGGCACGGAGTTCTGGTGGATCTGAGAGGCCTCTTTTGAGCCGTCTGCTGCTGACGCTGTGTTTGCTCGGCTCTGGGTATTTGCAGAGCACGTCACGTCCTGCACTGCTGCCCTCCTTGGGGAGAGACTTAGGTGTGGAGGATTTGTGACCATAAGCGCCCAGGAGCTGACAGCTGAAAGGCTTGAGCTTGTTCTAGGAGTCTTTCAGAGATTCTGAGCCTCTGTGGCCACCCCTCACCCATATACTCTTGGCCCTTTCTGGACTGTTCTACATTGGCCCAGGTCCTCACTCTCCTTGATTAGAACTCCCTCTAGCCCTGCCATGGCCATGGTGGTTCCCACTTCCTGTCCCCCCATGAAGCTAGTCCTCGATGAGAAGCTCTGGAATCATGCCTAGTGGCAAAAAAAGCTATTCTGAGCCTTCCCATTATGGCCTGGTGGGGAGGAGGGCGTTTATCCCTTGTTGCTTTTTGTTTCCTTCTTATGGGGTATAATCTGGGGTAGTGATGAGAACATTATCCGGACCTGCCTTCCAGGGCCCACTGGTAATTCCTGGCACTATATTTTAGCATTGAATGGAGGGGGCCAGGGAGGGGCAACCTTGGACCCCATCCTTCCAATCCTGGAGTGGCAGGTGGCACACTTTGCCCATGGGGGGTCCCATTAGCCTGTGAAGGGGTTGGATTAGCAAGGGTGGGCTGGCTCCCCTTTGGCTATTTGCTTCAGGCTGGTGGTGGCTTTTGTTGCCCTTGCCAGAAAGTTGGCTCTTTCACTGTGGTGGTGGTCTCTGCATCCTGTGAGAAGTCTGTGATCCTGCCCTGGCCTCCCTGTCCCCTGGCTTGGTGCTTGGATCTTGGAGCCTTTGTTCTTAGCTCTCTGCAAGGGGGGTCCCGGCAGGATCAGGCGGAGTGCCTTCCTCGGTCCTGGCCTGTCTTTTGGGCTGCTCCACATCCTCCCCATCGCCCTGGCTGCCCTCTGGAGGAACCTGCAGGTGGCAGAGCCTGCCACTGGTGCAGTGGCAGGTGCTATGGGGAACTCCCTTTGCAGGGCGGAGAGAGCCTTTTCCTTATGGAATAAGAGTCTGTCGGGACACAGGGGACATCTGGGCCTTGGGAGAATTGTTCCAAAGAATTCAAAACTGTTGGGAGCTTAATTGGCAGAGCAAATGAAAGTACAATAGATAGCCAAAGCTATTAATCACTAATTATCTGCTAAATAAGGTAGTTAATGGGTATTTAAATGGCATATTTATGAGATGCTAGCAGGTCTTCAAAAAGCACATCTTTCCCAAAGCAACTGGTTTGGCCACCTGTGCCCTGCTTGGAGGCCTGAGTTCTAGCTCCTAAAATGCTAGATGTGCCGCCGATGAGCTGTGCTACACCCCTGCCCGCCCATGCCCTTCCCTGTAGAAGCGGGTGCAGTGACAGTAGGTGCAGCGACAGACTGTCTCCTTCTCTGAGCTGCAGTTTTTCCCCTGTAAACAGGGATCACAAGCTGACTTTGGGCCACTGTGAGGCTGATAGGAAGCGGAGGTTGTGGGCATCTTGCAATACTATCAAAGGTTGTACAGAATTTAGTGTTCATTGTGAACATATCCTTAGGGCTATTTGATGGAACATCATTGACTGTGCTGGGTACCATCTGTGGCTGGGCGAGAGTCTTAATGCTTTGTTTGTGACTAGGTCAAGGCTTAGCCTGTAACCAGGGCTGTGGTCACACGTGTGCCTTGGTTTGGAACTGAGGTTGCAGCTTCTCTGTGGCTGAGATCATGGGTTGGTCTGTGGCCAGAGCTGTGGGTCTATCCACAGCGGGGCTGAAGATTCAAGAGATAGTTGAGATCAGAGTTTGGGTCACGACTCTTCTCCAGGACCTGAGTTACTGTCAGGATTATTGTGCCATTGAAGCCTCTGCCTCAGCCCTTGAGTGTCGCACATGCACTCACAGAGCTGCCTCATTGCCCCTGGAAGCTGATTCCTTCTTGGATTCTCCAGGTTGTCAGCTTTAGAGACTAGGGGCAATGGCAGACAGACCTCCCAGGGCTCCTGGGGGTCCCCTGAAACAGCCCCCCCCCACAGCTCATCAGTGGCACGTCTAGCATTTTAGGAGATAGTTAGGACTGTTTCTATAGCAACCAACCCCCAGCTGGCACTAGTTTCCTTCAATAATGCCTTTTTCTGGAAGCAGCTGCTCCTGGCCTCTCATCTTCACTGGGTAGCTGCATAGCCCCCCTCAAGGATGGGTATGGGCTAGCCAGCTCTGGACTGTCCCAGCGCCCAAGCATCTGACCCAGAGAGGGGTCCAGAGGATGTGCCCATGGAGGCTCCCCTGAGAGGGGCCTTCCTGAGTTCTGTCTTGGGCTGGACCATGCTGAACCTAACAAGGGCTTTCTTTACCCAGCCCTGCGCTAGTAAAGGCTAAGGCCCCACAGAGAATCCTGCCCAGGGTGTCTGCCCAGGGTCGGGGTAGGGTGGGGAGACTTGGCCCAGTGGAGAAAGCAGATATGGACCTGGTGAAATAGGGGCTCTGATGGACGGAAGGGAAGCCAGCTGACGTCCTGCTGACGGTGCAGGCATGAATGGGGAGAGAAGAAGGCTGAGGTGGGCGTGGAGGGTAGGAGCAAAGGCCTGGAGGGAAGATGGAAAGCTTCCCAGTGGGAAGTGTGTGGTGGGAACAGGCTGGGGGAGAGCAGGCCTTGGCTTAGGTAACTTAAACTTTGGGGGACAGATATGACGACCCCCCAGAGCTATGACAGAAGGGAGGCCAGAGGAAGCAGTTTCATGAGAGTGGGCAGGAAAGAGGAGGGGCTCCCACTGCAGGGGTCTGGGGAGAAGTTACCACATAGGAAAGGGCCTCTTGGGCCCTCTCCTTTCCTGAGGTGCAAATTGCTCTGAGATCTGGCACCGCCAGATAGGAAAGAAGCAAAAGCAAAGCCCTCAGAGAATCGTGATTTGGTATTTTATTTAATAAACCCTTCTATAGCACTGGTGGGGTATGAGGCACTATGCTAAACTTTTTCATATATTTGTTTAAACCTCATTGCGACCCAATGCAAGTATGATCATCATCCCACTTTACAGATGGGAAAACTGAGGCACAGAGCAGTTTAGCATGATTTCCTAAGACTGCTAATTGAAAAGCATGTGAGCTGAGACTAGAGCCAAACAAGTGGAAGTGTAACAGTGGTTCCCTTGAGGGTGGGGATGGCGGGCTCAGGGGAGGATGAGGTAGTAGGAGGACATGGGCCTGCAGAGTGACTGGGCTGTCTGCAGAGCCTCCCCCACGCTCTGCAGAGCTTCACACTCCGCATGGTGCCTTTAGACTTCTGGAGCCACAGGCAGGAGTGAGGAGCAGAGCAGTGTGATTCCACCTGTGCATGTGTGTGGCCATGTGTAGGCCGCAGTGTCTGTGCGTACATGGGGCTCTCACTGCCCGTCAGGAGCAGAGGCCTGAGCATTTCAGTCATGTCAGGTGTCAGGCGTTAGACCAAGGTATGTGCTTGTTAAACCTGCCGTTCTCACGCACGCTTAAATGCCTCTGTGTGTGCATGCATGTATGAGAGGGAGGGAGGGAGGCAGTGAGAGGAGGGAGAGAGACAGGCTGAGAGACTGAGACTGTCCAACGAGCCAGTAGCCCGGACGAAGCTGCACACTTTCCTGCCTCTTGGGTGCTCTCCTTTCCTGAGGTGCAAATTGCTCTGAGATCTGGCACCGCCAGGACAGGTTTCAGGCAGGGCTGGGCCCTGAGCTCAACAGTCACCAGCCAACAGGATGGCAGGTGCGGGTGCCGGCACAGCATTGTGCAAACCCTGGCCATTCTCAGGGTGCTTGTTCCTCCCTGGAGGCCTGGGAGTGTGTGTGTGTGTGTGTGTGTGTGTGTGTGTGTGTGTGTGTAATTCCCCAGAGTCATGGCTCTCAGCAGACATCCTTGTTCTTTCCCTTGCCCTGACATAGTAGGCTCCTTACTCTCGTGGAGAAAGTTACAGACCCAGCTTCCTGGAAATGGCTCCTTTTCTGGAGGCGCAGGTCTCTCCCTCCTTCCCATTTTGCCTCAGCTTGGGCAAGTCTTCCAGGCTTTTCCTCTGAGGATCAGCTTGGGTCCCCTCCTCCCAGAAAGGCCTCCAGGACCCTCGAGCTGCAAGATTCCTACCTCTGGGTGGTATGGCCTACGCCAGCTGAGCCCCTGCCTGGACAGCTGTGGCACGTGTGGAATTTGGCACAGGGACCCCTCTGCCTGCTCCTCTGTCCTCCTGTGCTCTGTGCAAGGCTGCCACTCCTAAGGGCAGGGACTGTTCCAGCTCCTCTCTGTCCCCCACTTCTTCCTCCCAGGCACCATCTGGCCGGAGATCTGGCCCTGGAAGCACTGGCCAGTGCCTTTATTCCTCATCTTGCTGAGCCAGGGCTTTCCTGTGGTGAAATGTCTTCGCTTTCTGACAGGGCTTCTGAGCACAGGGCGGTGTCCCCCTTCAGGTGGGCATTTTGCCCTTAGGCTGGGGCTGCCCTGGGCTAGGCAGAGCACTCGCAGAAGCCTCCTGTCTGTCTGTGTGTTTGCCTATCCAGCTATCCATGTGTCATTAGGAGCCAGGACTGAGATGGGGAAGGTGAGCAGATGGAGCCAACAGTCTGAGCCGAGATCTCTGGCCACACGCGTGCAGGGGAGATGCAAGCCTGGGACAAGGCCTGTGGTACCACACGGGACCCAAGGTGGTGGGTCTATGGGCCGGAAGAGAGACGGGGGCCATGGCCAGAATCCTCTCACTGCAGAGCTCAGCATGGAGTGCACATGCCGGATCTCTTGTTCTGCCCTGGGAAATGTTAGGATGCTCCCTTCTCTTTGATCCTGATTTAGGCTTCATAAATCAGTGTGGTCCTCAGGAAGAAGTAGGCATAGCCTGGGAGGACACAGAGGGGCATTGGATGAGGGCCCCTGGTAGCTGTTGGAGACCTCTCAAGTGGTCTTACCCAGCCTCAAGCCTTGGCTCTGTAGCTGAGGAGGACCACAATCTCCTGAGGGCCAGGCAGGGCTGGACACTTCGGCAACTGGTCTTGGTGAAATCTTCTACCAGTGAAGCAAGGATCATGATACCTGTTGTACGGATAGGAAGACGGAGCCTCAAAGAAGAGAACTTGCTTTGGGTTCATAGACAGTAAGTGATGGACTCGAATCCAGGCTTGAGTCTCTCCAAAGCCTGTGCTCTGACCTGGATGCTAAATTCTCATCCATAGCAGGGAGCTGATTTACATGTGACCTAGGTGTGGTCTTTGGAAGGGCTGAGTGGCAGGTGGAAAGGTTGTATTCTCCAAGGAATAACACACACACACACACACACACACACACACAAACAAACACAGAGCAACATGGACCCAGTGAGAGATGACTCTGTCATACTAGACACCCCTGTGCAGGATGATTTCACGGGCACAAGGATACCTAGACATTAATTTCTAGACCTGATGGGCAGATGGTTCTAGAACTAGGAGCTCCCACCTGAGCTCTCAGGGCAAGGGACCCTGTAAAGAGCTAGGGGCAGACTTCTGAGCCTTTGTCCAGCTGACCAGCGGCAGATGAGCTTGTTATCATTGGCCAAAAGGGCAGGCAGCAAAGAGGAAGAGATGGTGGTCACTTGCCCTCAGCTCTTACAGGAAAGACCCAGCCTGGTGATTCTGAGCACAGACACTGGAGCCAGATGGATCTGTGTTCAAATCCTGCCTCTGTCATTTATTAGCTTTGTGTTTTCGAGAAAATGCCTTCACGTCTCTGAACCTGTTTCCCTTGCTGCAAGGTGCACTGAGGGCTGCTCCTTTGAGCTTGGTTAGAATGAGTTTCAGTGAGACTGGTGAAGCAGCCAATAGACTGTCTGCTGCCCCCCTGTGCATACTCAGCAGGTCCTGGTTATTGACTTGCTTGTTTGTCAAATACTTTGTCCCTCTTCCATGTGGGATCACATATTGGACCCAGAAAATACAGAGAAGTATAGAATGGGGACCCATTACAAGGGGCACTATGCTCCAAACCCCTGTCCTCGCTGTAGAGGGATCATCATGCTCACCTGATTCTGAAGACCCTGAGTGGCCTCGTGCACACCTTCCTATGGCACCTCCCTTGGGAGGCTTTCTGGCCCTCTTGGGCATCTGTATCCCCACTTCTTGAGGTATGCAGGCAGTAGACAGGGTGGGGTGGGAAGGAACCTCAACACTCGCCGTTCCCAGCTTCCATCCATGACAGGCCATCCTCTACCTGGTCTGACTGTCTCCTCTCTTGTCTCCTCTCATACATTGTCCCATCAGTGGCTTCAGCTGTGTGGGTTTCTTTCTTCCTCTCAGACATGCCAATCTCATGTCCAATCTGTCTTTGTGGTTCTTTCATCCAGGAAGGCTGTTATCCACACACTGTGCTGGTCCAGCCTTTGTGCATCTGCGTGTGAGTGGGTGTGCATATCCAAGTACGTACATGCTCCGTGTGACTTGGGGTTTCTCATCATTTGAGCTTTAGGTCACTTGACACCGCTTCCCAGCAGTCTTCCCTTTAGATCCCTCTCAAGACGCTACCCATTGTTCTTTTCTGTCTTTGAAATATGGCATTTGCCATTTGCCAGACAATCAGTACATTGGAGGAGGAGGTGGAGGGAGCATCTCTCGTCCAGAAGCCACATGAAGGCTTCTTAACATACTCATTTTTATAGGTCCTTTTTTCTGTGAGTATATGCCGCTGGATTTCCTCCAGGTTGTTTTGAGCAGCCCCTGCACAAGGACAGGGATGACTTCAGATCCCTCTTAAACAAATTTAAGAGGACACATTTAAAAACCTGTGCAGGCATGCTGTTTAAAAGCAAGGAGGATAACAGCAAACAAGATAAAACATGCATTTGGGAAGACATTCAGGTATGTAGTTTGACCACAAAGGAGAGTCATAGCAGCAAAGTGGATTTATCAGAGAGAAGTGTCAGCTATGAATTGGAGGTGAAAGAGAGACACCACGTTGGTCCAACATGGCCGGATACTTAGAATGGGTGACCAAGTGCTTTTGCTGAGTAAGGCAGAGTCCCCTCATCACTTTTCCTCTGTGGACACGCGGACCCACACAAGCATGCCTGTCCAGTATTTCAGCTGTAACGACACAGTCAGAGACATTTGTGGAAGGAGGAGGTGCCAGAGGAGGGAAGGGAGAAGTCTGGGTTCTCCCTAGCACTTGCCACTGTGGAAATGACATTGGTTGTGTGCATGACATGTAATTTGCCAACTTTGGCCAATAGATAGTGAGCAGATGTGTGTCATTTCTGGGCAGAAGCATTTAAGGCTGGATGTGATTTTCCGTGTTCTCCCTTGCTTTGGCAGATCTTGACGTCTCATGTTGAGAGAGTAACATCTTAAGGTGGTGGCCCTTTTGTGTGACCAAGGTGAACAGAGCCCCCCTTTGAGTGGTGTATGAATGAGAAATAAACCACCGTTATTTTAAACAGCTGAGATAATTTGATACTGCAGCTCAGCTTATGCTGATTGATAGACCTTGTCACCTTGGCAAAGAGTCTTAGCCAGTAAAGGTAAAATTTTTAGAGCTTTCAATGATAACAAATAGCCTGCTGCAGCACATGTGCCATAGGTTCGCCACCACTGCTCTTAGCTACCTCTGACCTCCATGTTGATCAATGCAAAATGGATCTACTCACTCCCGCCCTATGGAACTTCCCCAGGCAGGGTTTTGGGAACTTAACTGAACGGATAAAAGTGGGAACACTTGGTAAAGTCTGAGGCCACAGAGGGAGAGGGCATAGACATGCAGGATGTGGTGGACCCTGAGTCCACGCTTGTCTGGGGCTGCCTCTTTCATACTGGGACACTGCTGCAGGCTTGGCTCATAAGTGTGCTCTCTTTGGCAGGTGGCCCTTCCCCGGGCGGCGGTGCACCCTGGCACCTTCGGAATGTCCTTAATGATTCAGTGGAGAGCTCGGATGATGAATTCTTCGATGCTAGAGGTGAGTGAACTCCATCCCCACAGCCGGTGGGGTGATCTCCCTAGAAGCCCAAGAAGAGGGTTTTTGATAGGAATTAATATTCCTTCCCACACGGACTTGCCCAGTAGGAGTGCCCCGAGAGCAGAAGCTCAGTATCCATCTGTCCACTCTGAAATATTTATTGGGCCCCTAATATGTTCCAGGAGCTATGCTGGGAGCACAGGACACTGGGGAATCTGGTGAGCGTGGTCACTGCCCCCATCAGCTTATAGCCCAGTGGAAGAGCAAACATCAGACAACGACACAAAGGGAAATGCAGTCGCTGGTGGGAGATGGTGATATTAAAGTAAAAAGTACTGTACCAGTTGTTAAGAGAGAGAATGGTGCAAGGACAGCTAAATTGGGTGGGACCTGGGTAAATGAGGAGGGGAAGAGAGAGCCTTCTAGACAGACAAGATAGAAGTCGAAAAGACTGGAGTAGAGAAGACTAGGGGACATTTCAGGCTCTGAAGGAGAATCTTGTGGCAGTGGGGTGGTGAGTAAGGGGAGAGGAGTGAGAAACAAGGCCGCAGGGGCTGTAGTGATGATGGCAATGTGCAGTGCAATGTGCAGTGCAGGTGACTTCTAAGATCATCCTCATAGAGGGGAGGGATCCAGAGCGTCAGAGAGGCCCTTGCGGTGATCAGGGCAGGCCTATGGGTTGGACAGTGGCAAGGAAATTAACTGTGTAAAGGCAGCGGACAAGATGCAGAAAGCGGTGAGGGCTAAGCTGGCTTGGAAGAACTAGAAGCTTCTCAGAACTGGAAGATGAGGCACCACGTGGTGGGCATGTCAGGCAGAGAGCCGTGTGGGCCAAGGCCTGGCGGTGTATCTGTGAGCAGAAGGAGGTAACTCAGTCTGGAATTTCGGCCCAAAGGCCCTCACTAGCCATGCTGAGCTGTGCTGGTGGCATGGGGAGGAGCACTGACGTGACTTACTCTCAAGATGGGGCCACCTTTGAAGTGCCTGGCAATGGGTCTTGAAAGACAAACAGTAGAAGTGCTAGGAAAACATCTGGACCCAGAGCAGGACACTTAGGATAGGGTCTCAGCCATGCCTTGGGCTTATTCTGCGATGTCAGGCAGGTATTTCTTCTTTTCTGGGCTTCATTTTTCCCATCAGCTCTGTGCCTCTCCAAATGGAGAATACCCAGTTTGGATGACTTTTTAGGGAAGTGTGGTTGGGACGGAGAGCTGTTCCCGCTCAAGCTTGCCCCATTCTTGGCTGTGGGCGGAGCAACCCCTCCTTGACACCAGCCCGAAACCAGCCCATTTGGGGCCCCTTTCCTATCTTCCGTTGGTGTTTGACTGGAGTGGCTGCTGGGGCTGTTTCTCCATGGCAACTAACCCACAGTGTGACAACAACAGCTTCAATATTTTGATGCTTAGGAGACTTTCATTTAAAACATCGCTGCAGCTCATCTGGCTCTGCATTCCCAGCTGAGATGAAGGCTTGAGGTGGGAGGCAGGCGCTCAGGGGTCGTGTGAGAGTCAGCTGTGTCCCTGGGGGCCCTGTTCACCTGCTTCCCCTGCATGCAGCTCTGGATCCTTCCTGCTCCCTCCCTGCTGGTTGCTGTCTTGGTCTCCTTTTCCCTGATCTCACTGTGATGAAATTGGCCTCATCCGTCCTTCCCTTCTTCTTGGTGGCTCCACTTTCTAGTCTCCCCCTTTTGTTCTGCTCTTCTGCACTCCCCCAGAGCCCCAGACGCTCCCTCTGGGATGTGGCCTCAAACCCAGATCATTTCAGAGCTGGGAAGCCCCTCAAGATCTTTAAATCCAGCAATCCTGGCTGATTTTACATGCTGGGAAACTGAAGCCAGGGAAACTTGTTCAGGGCCACTGAAGAGGCAGAGCAAGGACTACGGTCCCACTTTCCTTCCTCTGCTCTTCAACATGTACTTACTCAGCATCTGCCCATCGAGTTCCAGGCACCAGTCTCGGTGTGCAGGAAAAGAGACCACAGCTGCTTAAAAAGTTAATCATCCTTAATAACCCACCACTCCTTCCACTCCTGGGCAGTTACCTAAGAAAAAGAATGTGTATGTCTGCCTATACACTGGGCCGTGAATGTTCTAGCAGTTTTTAAAAATTCTAGCCCTGTACTTAATTTACATCCACGAGTGAGTGATAAACACTCTGTGGTACAGGAAGGAACAAACTGATTCTATTTGCGAGAGTCTGGACACATCTCAAAATATTCATGCTAAGTGCAAAAAGTTAGACTGAAACAGAGCCCGCACTTTGATTCCGCTGATATGAAACTCTAGAAATGCCAGCTAACCCGTACTGGCAGGTGCAGACTGATAGTCTCCTAGGGCAGGAAGCATGGGAGAGAGGGCGAGAAAAGGCAGGAGAAAACTCTTGGGGGGTGATTGGTATGTGTTCACTGTCTTGATTAGGGTGAGGATTTCACAGGTATTTGCATAGGTAAAAGCTTATCAAATTGTGCATTTTAAATATATGTAGCTTGTTGAGTGTCCATTCTAACTTTAACGCTGTTAAAAGACAGGGCCCCTCCGCCTCTAACAAAGGGCACGTGATAGAGTGATTAGGTGACGGAAGGAGGTCCCCAGAGGAGGTGGCCTGGGCTGAGCACTGAATAACAAGAAGCGAGCCATGCATAGATCTGGATCTGGGAAAGAGTGTTTTGGACAGTGGGAACAGCCAGTGTAGAGTGTTTTCTGGAGGAATGAGTTTGACATCTCTGGGAAACAGCAGCAAGGCTGGCTGGCCTGAGTGAGCAAGGAGGAACCCTAGTGCTGCTGGTCTACTGTGTCAGCAGCGGGGAGACGTAGGCCAAGTAGCCTGGGTTATGGAAGATAGCACCCTTGGATGTGCTTTTCTGTCCAGATTGGCCCAAGGTACGCCTGTCCTTGTCCCAGAGAAGATCAGAGCCTCAGAGCTCAGAATCTCATGTGTAAGATGGATCTGGCAGATGGGACCATGCTTGGACCTTGAGTGACCAAGCTTCCTACTGTGTGTGATGAAAACTTGTGGGTGGTAGGTAATCCAGCTGGAAACCACTGGTTAGAAGGGCTTAGTAGGCCAAGGAGGGAGGCTAAATTGTTAGAAGCTCAGATTTCATAGAGTTTCTGCCCATGAGATGCTAAACTCTAGAGAGAAAGTGAAAATGTCCTTTGGAGTCTCCATCCCTAAAGAGGATGCAAGGCTGGATGCAAGTGGCTGCTTTGGCATCAGATGGCTTTGTTTGGGATGTGGTTGGATATGTCAAGCACAGGTCACTTTATGGTCTGTTTCTGTAACAAAATGTGTCTTTCTTTGAAAAAGATCACTTGCATCTTTAACTTTAATTTTACTTTTAAATACAAGGCATACTCCAATTAGAGTTTTAAAACCAACCTACATCTAGTACCAACAAAGGATTTTGCCATGAATTTAACTACTTAAAGATAGTTTTAGTGGAAGTGTCTTGAACTGGCAGGCAAGAGATCTGAAGCCTTGGTCCAGCCCTGTCCCTGAGGGTCTGCCTGACTGTGGGCCAGTGGAGCAGCGTGCTTTTGCAACAAGATGCTGGACTTGACCTTGAAGGATCTTTATAGCTCCAAACCTCCCATGGAGCGCCCAAGTGACCTTACAAGGCTGTGTTAGCCACAGTGTCCAAGCCCGCTCCTTCACTTTAGTGGGCAATACTTGTTTTCTTTTGTTTTCCTCTCTAGTATCTACATAGCAGCCTCTCCCTTCATGAATATGCATAAGCAGGAGTAAAACATTGGCAGGGGCAGCGATGGGGGTGGTAGTGGTGGTGCTGGTGGTGGTAGTGGTGGTGGTGATGGTAGTAGTGGAGCCAGAGTTAATTTTCAGAGTAGCCCTGGGTAGCTTACCCAAGAACAAAGCGTGGGACTCCCTCTCCCAGCAGGGTAGGGAACTTTGCGGGCTGGGAAACTTCTGCCCTCGCCTTCCCTGTGTATTCTCTGTTCCCCGGCTCTCATTGTGGAGTCTTGGCTGATCTTCTCCTCCCCCTGCTGGGTACGATGCTGGGGCATGTCAGGCTGGATGCTGGGTGTACAGTTTGCTTCTGCCTCCTACTCCTGGTTTCCTATAGCAATCAAGAGAGGAAGGTGATGAAGGGACCAATAATCCCATTTTATGGACAAAGACTTAAGACAAGGTTCGGTGTCATAGAGAATAAGGAACACGCTCCAGTTCTTCTCCTGGATGGGGCTTTGGCTGTGATCACACAGTTTTCCACAGGTCTCCCAAGAGCGGAGAAGAGGAGCAGAAGAAGTGGGGTCAGATGACCCAGGTCTTCATTAAGGTTGTGCCATTGACTGGCTGCTGTCTGACATCAAGCAGGTGTTGAATTTTTGAGCCTCCAACTTTTCTGGAAAGTGGCAGGGTAGGATGGCTTGTCTCATGAGTGGAGAAAAAGGAAGTCTCTGTGGAAGCTGGATGGTTGTTCCTGGGTAGTGGGGCCATCACAGAAGTAAGCTGCAGGCATGTCATGCCCCCCCGCCTGCTGTTTTTTCTCCGTCAAGGGAGGAAAGTGGAGACATGAATGACATGGAGCCGGCCCCAAAGGCTTCTGGGAGTGGGCTGAGTGGGGAACACCACAAGTGATGGGGAGAGAGTGGTGGTGATGGCTGTAGGCAGGGCACAGGGGAGAGTGTTAAACAGTGCAAGGTGGAGGCACTTTTGTCCCAAAGGCACTGCAGCAGTACACATTGAGGTTCTTCAAAAGAGTGGCCCAGGTGTGTGGGCCTGACAGTGGGCGGCAATGGAGGTGCCATCTGGAGGGGGTGACCCAGCCTTTGCCTGCATGTGCTGGAGGCGAAGCTTTCTGGCACAGGGCAAGGTGACTGTCCAAGTCCTAAAGACCCCACAGAAACCGAGGCCCTGGGCAGGAGGAAGGATTTCCTTCAGGCTCTGGAGGTTGTACTTAAAGGGTAGGTCCAGGCTTCAGCCAGGGGCAGAGTCAGGTTGAGGTCAAGGCCATGACCGTGGTGTTGGTGGGTGAGGCTCAGCCTAGAGCTCAGTCTGGACAGGGGCTGAGGCTTAGTGGAGTGACACAGATGCCAAAACCAAGTCCACACCAGACGTCACTGGGAAATGAAAATCAGCTTGCAGGTAACAGTTACAAAAGTGAAAAGCAAAGTCAATACCCAGGACAGTTGCCCAGATGCATCTTCTGTGGCCTTAGTGGTTCCTGTGAGGGGGCAGCACTGTAGGGCGGGGAAAAGGATTGGAGGCTCAGAGCTGAGCACAGGGTGCCTCTGCCTGAACTCAAAGAGAGACATTTAGGTTGCTGCCCCTCTGTGTGTGTGTGTGTGTGCGCGCGCGTGCTCAGGGGATAAGCCCATTGTTTCAAGAGTGGGGATCTGAGGACTGAATAAGGAGACTGGGCATAGGAGAGGGGCCTGTGGGGGGAGAGAGGAAGAGAAAGGACATCTGAGAGATGGGGCGCAGAACAGCTGCAGAGACAGGGATGGGGGGTTGGGGCTGGGAGAACAAGAATGCTAAAGAAAATGTGAGAGAGCCCAGTGAGAAAACACACACACACACACACACACACACACACACAGAGCAAGAGAGAAGCGGACAGTTAAGAGACACAGTGACCCAGAGCAGAGGGCAGAGGGACAAAGCCAAAAGAGCCAGGAGAGACTTGCATAGGACGGGAATCCTAAAGAGCAGGACACAAACAAAGAGAAGCCCAAAGAGAGTGAGAGGGGTGACAAAAGGGGCGCATCCACTAGGAGGGTAGGGGAGGGGCACAGGGGGAGGAGAGCCAGGGAGCATGAACGAGACCACCCAGAGAGAGGGCCCTGTGCAGCAGGGGGTGCCAAGGAGCCTGAGAGAGAGACAAAGACAAATACAAGAACCAAGAGCAACAAATCCAGACAGGGATCCAGAGATACCAGATCCAAGGTGTGTGGAGAAGTGGTTCTCTCCCTGAGAGTCTGCAGGAGAGATATTTGATAGAAATCCGGACAGACGACCAAGAGTGAAAGATTGAGCTGGGTTATACACAAAATTAGGAAGAGAGAGGGAAGAGGTGCACCGAGGTAGGCATGAGCAGAGCTCCAGAGCCCTGGAGGCCCCCACAGAGCTCCAACGGTCTCACCCACCCCTAGGAAAGAACTTAACTGCACCGTAGAAAACAGGAACTAGCATGTGATGAGCACCTACTGCATACCCAGCACTGCACCTGGAGCCTGGTTCTCTCTTCTTACCATGTGAGAGTTATTTGCTATTGTATCCTTCACACGAGTGGCTTCCCACAGGATGGAGGTCGCGTCTCACAGGGCATATAGTAAGTGCTGGGAAATCCATTCATATAGAACGGGTGCTAGAATGAATGAATGGATAGCTGCTTGCTTGAGTAACTGAACCAAGAGATAGAGAACTCCAGGCAGGTTTCGGGTTGATCCTGATTATCCTCTCTGGAACTGGGAAAGAATGTCACAGATCAGACAGTGGCATGATGGAAACTGAGAAAGAGTGTTAGGGGGCAACGTCACATGCTGCTGGTGGTGGCAGTGTGGTGGTGGTACCCCGATGTGACGCTGTCTCCATCTGTGCTATCATAGTGTGCTTGGCCTCTTGTGAACATGGGACCTGCTCTTCTCATTTAGTCCTCAACTGTTCTGGACATAAGCACAATTCTGATATCATCTTGTAGACGAGGAAGCTGGGGCTTATAAAGCTTGTCCAAGGTCATATTGCTGACAGATGTGGGTCCAGGATTGAAAATAGTCAATCTAATACTGAAACTGAGCTTTTAACCTCATTACAATTCTGGTTCCTCAAGAACACTGCCACTATATGTTTGTGCACATTTTGACTTGTATGGTTGTGTTTGAACTAACTTATTGTATGGCCCCGTGGCGGCTTGCTAGAAAGAGTTAGTGCTAAGGTTGCTGTTGCCATTTAAAGAATAAGAAAACAGAATTAGGTGATGGATGTGAGCACGAAGCTCATAGGTAACATAATCTATACTGGAACTGGGTCAGAGCTCTTCCCAGGATAGAGAGCTGCTGCTAGGTGTAAACTGCCCCAGACTGAGCATCCCAGGCTTAGGAGACTAGGTGTATGTGTGGCGCTTGGCTGGAGTGCTGAGCAGTCAGTGCAGGATGTCAGAGCCAGGCTGTCAGGAAAGCAGGATTTCAGGACTCTTAAAATAGTATATCTAGGTGTGAATCCTGGCCCCAGTGACCTCGGGCAAGAATTACTCATCTACTCTGTGCTTCAGTTTCCTTGTCTATAGATAATAATAATTTTCCTTTTTAGTATTGCTATGAGGATTAAGCTAATAGTTGTAAATCCCTTATACCAATCTCACAGGGTACTAAGGGCTTCACGGGTGTCATTAAGTCAATCAAAGAAATAAGTAAAATAAGGCAGGTGTCCTAGCTAGGAATGGGATCTAGGTTAGTGAGCTTGAGTGAATCAGAACGCTGGACAGCTCCCAAGCTTTCCGCTCCCATCTGCTGGATCAAGTTCTTTGCCAAAGAAACGGGTGTCACCAATTTATTTATTTATTTATTTAAATTTGGCATCAAACAGAAGGGTGTTCTACCACGGAGCCACACCCTTAAACCTTTTATTTCTTTAAAATCTTTTTCTTGTGTTGCAATAGAAGGGATTGAACCCAGAGCCTTTGCCTTGAGCTTTATTCCCAGATCTTTAAAAAATTTTTTTTTGGTACCAGGGATCAAATTCAGGACCTTGGGCTTGCCAGGCAGGAGCTGTGCTGCTGAGCTATATCCTCAGCCCTAAAATTTAAAAAAAAAACGTAATGCAACACAAGTAGCCATTAATGAAGAAAAATGTAAAATATACTCTTCTATGAAAAAATAAAATAAAATTTCATAACAAAATAATTAGAGAATAACCATGGTTAATATCTTGTGTGTCATGATCTTAAAAGAGTGGCCAAAATGTTACTCAGACCTTTTTATTTTTATTTTGAGACAAGGTCTCACGAAGTCACTGAGTTTCCCAGACAGGGCTTGAACTTGCAGTCCTTCTGCTTCAGCCTCCTGGCTTCATCCTTTATTAATTATGACGTACCTGGGCTCTGCCTCAATGCCCTTGCTGTCTTTACCCTGAAGGAGGGCATGAAGTTCTTCACCTGAAGGCCTGTCTCTGGGCTGGAGATGAGGAAGAGAATGCCCATTACTATGGGTCTGTTCTTGAAGAAGTGTCCCTTTCAGGATGTAAAACTATACCATATGTGTGTTTGGGGTGGGGAACCCAGGGACTTGTATTCAGGGTGGTTTGGGAGTATGGCTTCTGCTGCTCCCTTACTTCAGAGCTGCTCTTGTCCCCTTAAACCCAGATCTACTCGAATCCTCTCATACGAAGGAATAACCACAATGGTTATGAGCGCTTCGTATGCACTAAGACTTTATACCTATTATCTCATTGAATCTTCATAACTCTGTGAGGTGGATATTACCAGTTGTGTTTTACTGATGAGAAAATTGAGACTTGGGGAAGTCTAATAGCACACCCAGAGGAAAAATACTGGCGAGTGAGGAGGTTTTCCCTTTTTCCTCAAACACACTGTCTTTCAAGAAGTATTACTCTTAGTGCAGGAATGGAGGCTTCTGTAAGTTTTCAGCCTCTCTCATGACTGCCCTCTTCACTACTTGCTTTTGCTGTCTGTACCACCATCACACTGGCACCAGCAGCAGCATGTGACGTTGCCCCCTAACACTCTCTCTTGGTTTCCATCGTGCCACTGTCTGATCTGTGACATTCTTTCCCAGTTCCAGAGAGGATAATCAGGATCAACCTGAAACCTGCCTTGACATCTGAGGGCCCAGTAGGGTACAAGAACAATGCCTTCTTACAGTTTCCATCTATAACTACAGATATCTTCAGTAGTTCAAGCTACTTCAACTCATGGACAACATAAACATCCCCCGCCATCACAAATTCCTGTTAGGGCCACCTATGCAGAGCTCTACCCGCTCATGCCTTCTCTGCTTCTTCCCACAGAGGAGATGGCAGAGGGGAAGAATGCCATCCTCATCGGAATGAGCCAGTGGAATTCAAATGATCTGGTGGAACAGATTGAGACCATGGGGAAGCTCGATGAGCCTCAAGGTGAGAGCCAGCCTGTCTCAAGATCAGGGTGTGCACATAGCTATGTTGTAGGGTGGGGGCAGGGCTGTCAAATGGGGCTTGGACTTGAGTGCTCTATGAAGAGCCTTCTGTCTGTGTGCCTTCTTTCACAGCTTCCCTGAATTCGGCCACTTGCAGGAACTCTTTTGGGGACATCTTGGGGTTTTAGGTGGCAAAACAACCTCAGGGTACTTCTACAGGGCTTATTTTGTTTGTGGAATGATCACTTGAGATCATAGATAATTAAAGGCAGGTGCTGGTCCAAGCTCCTTTCCATGCCAGGTCTGTGCGGTTGGAATCTGCTGGGTAAGGGAGGTGGCGCCTGGAGGAGCCTTTGAGCAGGGACAGGAGCTGAGGTCTTAGGGGAGAAGGACAGCAGTGAGGACCTGGACTTCTTCTGGCTGAGCTGTTGAAGGAAGAATGTATAACTAAAGATTCATCCAGTAAAAGCTTTTCATGGAGGGACTTTGGGCCAAGTATTTGATCAGCAGATAAGGCAGGCTTATATCTTTAGGTATCCCCCCTTCTATCTGTCCATTTTAAAAATCACCAACAGAATGTGTACAGAACATCTACTGTGGGTAAGTGCCTGGCAGGAGAGATCACAGGTGATTCAACTGAGGCTTCTGCCTTGTGATGCAGGGCACAGTGTCTGTCAAGACATAGGCATCAGACTTCAGCTGAGGGTTGTTGGCTTGGAGGAATGAGGCAAGACTTTTAGAAGGAGATGGGAGAGAAAATCAAGGTGATGAGCTCAGGCTTTGAAAGTCAAGCAGAGGAGATAGTTGAGAAAGTCATAAAATCTGGGTTGACATGTGGGGATGTGAGGCTCAGAGATCCTCAGTTGAGGGTTGCATTTGATTAATGTGGCACTGGAATGAGAACCAGGGCCACAGCTAGAACCCCTTCTAAGAGGCTAATTTTTGAACCTGTAACCCTCAGGCTAATTTCCTTCCTACCCTCTGTAATACTCTTCTTCCTTTCTTTTTTTCTAATGATCTTGTCTTGTTAGTGTTGCTATGACAAAATACCTGATATTGGGTAATATATAAGGAAAAGAGGGTTGTTTGGCCCATGATTCTGGTGGCTGGAAAATTCAAACAGCATGACATTGGCCTCTGGTACCACAGCATGGCAGGTGGCATCACAAGGTGGGAGCTGGTGATAAAGTGGCAAGTAGCTTGAGCAGAGGAGGTTACATGGCATGAGAGAAAGTAGGAAACCAGGGAAGGGCCAGTCTCTTTTTTTTTGTAGTCCTGGGGATAGAACCCAGGGCCTTGTGCATGCAAGGCAAGAACTCTACCACTGAGCCGCATCCCCAGCCTTCTTTTTATTGTAACTTGCTCTCACAGGAACTTACCCTCTCCTTTGAGACCTAACCCAGCCCACAAAACCAGAATCAATCTCTTCACATGGGCAGGTGTGACCTGATCACCTCCTACTAGGCCCTACCTCTTAAAGGCCCTACCACCTCTCAATATTGTGACTTTCGGAACCAAACTTCCAGCACGTGAACCTTTTGGACAAACTGCATCCAAAGCACAGCATTCACTTCCTTTTCTTACCTTCTTGACTCCAACTTTCCACAGTCATGATCTGAGCCAGAATCACTCTCTGGTCAGGGCTGTGCTATCAGAATGTAGTCAGTAGGATGGTCCTGGCCCAGTCCAAGAGGATTGCCATCTTGCTGTAGCATCTACTGTACTTCTTATCCCCTCTCTGCCTCCTTGGTACACAGTTCTCCCCATTCCAAAGCATGCACCCTAAAAAATGCATGAGCACGGGACAATTTTCCCATTTTACAAATGAAGAACTCAAGAGAAGCTACCTTTTGCCCACAGTCTTCCTCAGTTCCTAAGTCCCATTCTAGGGCCTCTCCTCCCAGATGAGACTGAGGCTTGGCACAGTTTGGGCCTCATAAAGTTTAGGCCTAAGAAAACGAGTCTTACAAGGAAAGGCATCCTGAGCCACTGTCACATCCAAGGAAGAGCCAGCTTGGCACTGGCCCCCAAGGCCAGTCCAGAGGCAGTGTCCTCTTGAGAGCCATGTGTTTACAAATGGGTCCTTGGCCTGCTCTTCCCTTTACCACCAAGCCCTGAAGAGATTGAGGATTCTGTATACCACTCCTTGACTGTGTTTAGTACCACGAAAAGACAAGCCCAGGTTTGTGCTCACCACTCATCTGGTCGTCCTCTCCTGGCTCCCACCCCCACGTGTCTGCTAGGGAATCTCTGACTCAGACACAGTGTGAGCTCAGGAGGGGCTGAGCAGGAGGCAGTGTGAGCTGGAGGGCGAAAAAGAAGGAGGGAAGGAAGCAGAAGGGGAGGCTGTGGGAGGGGCAGAAACAGCTGCCTTAGAAGGTGAGAGGTTGGGGTTACAGCTTCAGCCATGCCACTGTGTGGCTTTGTGGCCAAGGAAAGTCACATTCCTTCTTTGAGCCTCAGTTGGTTTATCTGCAGAGTGGGGCACTAGTATAAAAGTTACAAGAAGGAAATGAGACAGTGCTCCCAAATGCATTCACTAACAATTAAGCTCAATGCTGGAGGACGAGGATAAGAGCAAATAATCTCACACAAGAATAGCTCTGAAATGCTTTGTGGTGCTGATGCTCCATTGCATTAGGGCCTTGCTTGCCTGAGTCTGAGAGGTGATGTTGTATCCTCCTAGCAAAGAATAAGGAAAAGGGGACAGGGCATAAAAGATGAAGAACAGCAAGCCAGCTTGATTTCCAGGGTCTTCTGTATCCTACTCCCCATGAATTCATACTGTGAAATCCCGCAACACAACAGAGCACTCAGATTAATTCCCTTCATTTCAGCGATCATTGATGGAGTCCTTGCAGGGGCCCAGTCCTGTGCTGGATGTGGGGGAAGTAAAGATGAATAGGGTGGCACTGTCACTTTGTAGGAGCCCACAGCAGAGCCCAGGTAACTGCAGTAAGACAGGCTGAGCACAGCCCCAAAGGAGGGAGATTCTAGGGAATATTTTGGGGAGAGGAAATTCTGAAAACACTTTGCTGGAAAAAGACTGCAATCCAAATTGGTGGTATAAACAGAACTGACACTTCTGCTTCCTTCAAGATCCCTGCCCTTAAATTAAACACAGGGCTCATACCAGGGAAAGCCTCTCCTGGCTGACATTCTGGCCAGTTGTATTTCCTCTGTGAGTGCCTCAGATACCTGTCCTGGAGACCTCTCTCCAGGGCTCCAGACTCTTATTTTTGGCAGCATCCTTCCTGGATATCATAGAGACTTCTTACGCACAATGAATTCCTGACCTGCTTCTAAAACCTGAATTGTGTTTTCTAGTCCATCTTGTCTCTCCTTACCTAGTTAAATCACAGATCACGTGGCACTTCCTGACTGTTCTGATAACTTTGGCTCTTGAGGGTGCTGATCTGGGGTAGTGTGTGCATGTGTATGCATGCATGTGGGCATGTGTATGCCAACCATATCTTGTTGGTTTTTTTTTTTTGCACCAGGAATTGAACTCAGGACCTTGCTCTTGCCAGGCAGGCTCTGTGACACTGAGCTAAATCCCCGGCCCTACCTTGTTGGTTTTATTTCTTCATTATTCAGTGAGAACTCATCTTGGTCACCTACATTTCTCTTCTGTGGGAGTCTGGTGCCCTACACTGTGCAGATGTCCTCTGTCGTCAAATTGTTCTTGTGCTTCTTTCTGCTGGGCTAGAGTATGTCCTTCATCTTATAGCTTTTGTAGGCTGAATTTACAGTTTAGGGTTTCCACTCTACTTGGGTGGTATAAATTTAGCCCCTACTTCCATATGTGGCACAGGCTTAGGGTGTTAATTACTCATGTGTGACTTTTTTCTTTCTCACTGACTATGAATGGTTTCTTTGCTGCTGCCCCAAAGGAATTTTGCATGTGTGTGCTCCTTTATGGATGGAGCAGGCCTTCAAGGATCCCTACTGTAAAGGGAGCTCCACTTCAGCTCCAGCTACCCACAGGTGAGGTCAAGTCTGTGGACTTGATAGTTCAGTTCCTAACCCCTAGTTCTGGAGCCTCCATCCCTTGGGTTTGGGGTCCTGGGTCTCCTCTCGGTTCTGCTTTTCTTTCCTATCATAGTTCTCTCTTCCATCTGGAGTTTGTATATTGAACATTCTGTATTTTAAGCTCAGTTTTGCATTTACATTTTTTAGTGCTTTATTGCCCAGCATATAATTATTTTAATGGAAAGGGATCCATTGGTATCAGCTCAGTGTACCTTATTTATTATTACTGCTATTTGACAATTGGTGGTCTTGTTATTTTTCATTTAAAAAGTTTTGGTTGTGGTAAAGCAGTCAAACACATAGCTTAAAATTTACTTACCTTTTAAACCGTCTTAAGTGTATATCTCGGGGTACGTTGATGTACAGCCATTACCACCATTCAGCTCTATAGCTCTGCCATCATCTCAACCTGAAACTGTACCATTAAATACTAACTCCCCACCCCCACACCCCCCAGCCCCTGACAACCTCCATCCTACTTTCCTTTCCCTATGAATTTGACTTCTCTAAGCATCTCACATATGTGGGATCATACGGTATTTGTCTTTTTTTGGTGTCTGACTTCTTTCATTTAGCATAATATTTCAAGATTCATCCATGTTGCAGCATGGGTCCATACTTTATTCCATTTTGTGGCTGAATAATTTTCCATTGTGTATACTATGATGTGTTTGTCCCTTTATCTGTTGACAGACATTTGGGTTGTTTCCATTTTTGTCTATTGTGAGTAATGCTGCTATGAATATTAGTGTACAAATATGCACATTATTTCTTGAATTCATTCTTCCTGGGGAGAAAAAAACAAACAGTAAGACTCCAGTTTTCCTTAGCTATTTCTTCAGTTGCAAACCCTACTGCAGAGTTTATCAGTGTGTGGGGGAAAAAAAAATCAAACCAAACAATACAAATGAAACAATTTTGGCAATATTTGTAGTACTTACTTATTTTTCTTTTGAAATCGCATTGCAT